AAGGAGATAAATAGATACCCTTGATCTCTTATCTTCCCACCTACCCAGGGTTGAGGCCCTGCCTCTGGAGGAAGGGATTCTGGGAGTTCTGTAGCAGCATGATGTCACCTCCTAGTAGCTATTGACCTTTGGCCAATTACATCACCACCATCACCATCATCATCATCATCTATTGGACGCTTGCTATGTGCCAGGCACTGAGCTGAGTGCTTCAAATATATGATCTTATTTAATCCTTATGTAGATCTATGAAGTATAGACAATTAGCATTCACATTTTACTCTCGAAAGGAATCTGAGTCTCAGGGTGATTAAGTTGTAGGAACTGTGATAGAGGTAAAGGTGGAAGCTAGTCTGTCGCCAGAGGCTGCATTTGCTTCTTAACCTCTCCGAGCCTCAGTTTCCTCATCATAAAACGGTTCTAAAAACACCTCCCACACAGGAGTGTTCCATGGATTACATGACATCATGCATAAAGTAAACAGTCAAACAATTTAGCTATTATTAGTAGATTTGGGCTATTATCACAACACTGTTTACATTCTTACATTTTAATAAAGGACTATAGAGAAAGAATGTGGGTTTGTATGAGTGCTTATGTGTGTGTGTCAGAGAGACAAAGAGAACAATAATCATCAGAAAGTCATGAATTTGAGCTGGAGAATTTTGAGTGTTGATAGAAGAGAGTTTGTGTGGGCTGCTTTCCCTTAGTGCCTTAAACCCTATGATATACAAGTTCCTCAAGATGGTTTTAATTTTCGGGGCTGGGGCTAGGGTGAGGTGAATGAGGCACTAGGCTCCGGTGTAGCTTTTAAAGGGACACAAACAATTCAGTCATCAAGATACATTTTACGTGTGTGTGTATGTATATATACACATACATATATATTTTTAACACCTCTGAATGCTCTAGTTCTATAAAAGCATGTGTTTGTCCTACAACATTCTAAGATGGATTTTGGTATTTTAGCTTTTTACTGATAGGTGAAATGGATGATTTCTCCTTTTTTGCCTTACTTTGCAACTTATTTGGAAATAGTATCTAAGTTCTATGGCTCTCCATTTCTGCCCAAAGAGTAGTTAGAAATTCTGTGCAGTTTTGTTTTTGAGATATACTTAACATATAGCATTATATTAGTTTCAGGTGTACCATACAGTGATTTAATATTTGTATGTATTGTAAAATGATCACCTCGTTAAGTCGAGTCAACATCCATCACCACACATAGTTACAATTTTTTTTCTTGCGATAAGAAGATCTTTTAGCAACTTTCAAATTTACAATACAGTATTATTATTATTTTTTTAACTTTTTAAAAAAATTTATTTATTTTGGCTGCATTGGGTTTTCATTGCTGGGCATGGGCTTTCCCTGGTTGCGGTGAGCTGGGGCTGCTCTTTGTTGTGGTGCGCGGGCTTCTCATTGCGGTGGCTTCTCTTGTTGCGGAGCATGGACTCTAGGCACATGGGCTTCAGTAGTTGTGGCCTGCAGACTCAGTAGTTGTGATGCATGGGCTTAGTTGCTCCGTGGCATGTGGGATCTTCCCGGACCAGGGCTCGAACCTGTGTTCCCTACATTGGCAGGCAGATTCTTAACCACTGTGCCACCAGGGAAGTCCCTAGTATTATTAACTGTAGTCACTATGCCATACATTACATCCCCAGGACTTATTTATTTTATAACTGGTGGTTTGCACTTTTTGACTCCCTTCACCCATTTCGCCCACCCCCATGCTCCACCTCTGTTTTTTGGGTTTTGGTTTTAGGTTTTTTTGTTTTTACGGTTTTTTGTTTGTTTTTTTTAAGATTCCTCATATAAGTGAGATCGTATGGTATTTGTCTTTCTCTGTCTGACTTTTTTCACTCAACATAATACCCTTAAGGTCCATCCATGTTGCTGCAATTGGCAGAATTTCCTTCTATTTTTATAGCTAACATTCCATTGTATATGTATACTACATTTTCTTTATCCGTTCATCCATCAATGAACACTTAGATTGCTTCCATGTCTTGGCTGTTGAAAATAATGCTGTAATGAACATAGGGATGCATAGATCTTTTCAATTTAGTACTTTTGTTTCCTTCAGATAAATGCCCGGAAGTGAAATTGCTGGATCATATGTTAGTTCTATTTTTAATTTTTTGAGGAACCTCCAAATTGTTTTCCATAGTGGCTGCATCAATTTACATTCCCACCAACAGTGCATAAGCGTTCCCTTTTCTCCACATCCTTGCCAAAACCTGTTATTTCTTGCCTTTTTGATAATAGCCATCTTAACAGGTATGTGATATCTCATTGTGTTTTTTTTTTTATTGAAGTACAGTTGATTTACAATGTTGTGTTAGTTTCTGCTGTACAGCAAAGTGATTCTGTTATACATATATACACATATTCTTTTTCATATTCTTTTCCATTATGGTTTATTACAGGGTATTGACTGTAGTCCCCTGTGCTATACAGCAGGACCTTGTTGTTTATCTATTTTATATATAGTAGTTTTTATCTGCTAATCTCAAACTCCTAATTTATCCCTCCCCCATCCCTTTTCCCCTTTGGTAACCACAACTTTGTTTTCTGTGTCTGTGAGTCTGTTTCTGTTTCTTCTTTGGAAAAATTTCTATTCTACCCATTTTTAATTGGACTGTTTGGTTTTCTGCTCTTAAGTTGTGTGAGTTCTTTGTATATTTTGGATATTAATCCTTTATCAGATATCTGACTTGCACGTATTTTCTCGCATTCAGTAGGTTGCCTTTTCATTTTGTTGATGGTTTCCTTTGCTGTGCAGAAGTTTGATGTAGTCCCCCTTGTTTATTTTTGCTTTTGTTGCTTTTGCTTTTCGTGTCAAAACCAAAAAAATCTTTGCCAAAACCGCAGTCAAGGAGCTTACCACCTCTGTTTTCTTCCAGGAGTTTTATGGTTTTAGGGCTTATGTTCAGTCTTTAATTCATTTTGAGTTGATTTTGGGGTATGGTTAATTTTATTCTTTTGCATGTGGCTGTCCAGTTTTCCCATCACAATTTTTTGAAGAGACTGTGCTTTCCCCATTGTATATTATTGGCCATATTTTGTGGGGTTTTTTCTGAGCTCTCTATTCTGTTTCACTGACCTATGTGTCCAATTTTATGCCAACATCATACTGTTTTGATTACTATAGCTTTGTAATATAGTTTGAAACCAGGATATGTGATGCCTCCAGCTTTGTTCTTCTTTCTGAAGATTGCTTTGGCTAGTCATGGTCTTTTGTGGTTCTATACCCATTTTAGGATTGTTTGTTCTATTTCTGTGAAAAATGTCATTGGAATTTTGATAAGGATTACATTGAAGCTGTAGATTACTTGAGTAGTATGGACATTTTAATAATATTAATTCTTCCAATTCATGAGCATGGAATATCTTTCCATTTATTCGTGTCATCATCAATTTCTTTCATCAGTGTCTTATAGTTTTCAGTGTACAGGTTTTTCACCTTCTTGATTACATTTAGTCCTAGATATTTTATCCTTTTGATGCAATTGTAAATGAGATTGTTTTCTTAATTTTTCTTTCTGATAGTTGTTGTTAGTGTATAGAAATACAGCTGAGTTTTGTATATTGATTTTGTATCCTGCAAGGTCACTGAGTTTGCTTGTTAGTTCCAACAGTTTTTTGGTGGAGCCTTTAGGAATTTTTAATATATAATATGTCATCTACAAAAAGAGACATTTTTACTTCTTCCTTTCTGATTTGGATGCCTTTTATTTCTTTTTCTTGCTTAATTTTTCTGGCTAGGATTTCCAATACTATGTTGAATAAAAGGGGCAAGAGTGGGCATCCTTGCCTTGTTTCTGGTCTTACAGGAAAAGCTTTCAGATAGATAATACTTTATTGCAGTATTTAAAAAAAAATCCGATTGGCAAACTGTGGCCTGTGGGCAGCCACCTGTTTTTGTAAATAAAGTCTTACTTCTAATTTAAAACAGAACTCTTATTAACACTCTCATACCAGCAAGCATATAAAAGAGTTCTAGAATATTTCCAGACCTTCACTGACACACTGATAAAGGTTCATGTTCCTAGCTTTGTGTGTTTTTTCTTTGAATGCTTTATAACAGATCATCATTATCCAGCTCTGGATATAACGTCAGAAAATATAACATTACCAAAAATTTACAGAAAAAGCTCTCTATAAAATGCTAGCTGATAAAGTCAGTCTTGGATTATTCCCCAAAACTACATAATGACACTACATAATAAAGTTCTTTTATACACAAAGTGTTTCACAATATACTATTCAACCTTAGAAAGCACGAAGGGAGTATGGGGAAGGCCCATTCAACCGTGGAGTAGCTATAACACGTGTCATCCACATGATTTGTGTCTCTCCTAATACGCACATTCCCAAACAAAGGATATTTATAGGAATTGTGTGTGCCTCAGAAAATGGCACCCTGCCATATTCAGCAAACGTTTTTTCAGTTTTGAACCCTAGTACTTAAGAGAAAAATGAAAATTAATTCACGATAAGGCTAATTGGACTCTAGACCTCATTAAAAAGTTCTTTCTCCCTTCAGTCATTCTTTAGGGCCCAGAAATGTTAACAAGCAACACTACAGCTGCCTTTTTTGTCTCTAAGAGAAAGACAGAAAATGAAAGAAAGAGCTTTGCATCTGATTTATGAAGGATGAGCAGCTCTCCTCCGAGAGAGAGAATTGTCTCCACATAACAGTGGCTACACCTGCTTATCAACAGTCTGAGCTGCGGCAGATTGCTCACCTGTGCATCAGTCCCATCATCCCCCCAAAATGGGCTTTTGTACCGAGTAAAGAAATCAATGCAAGCAAAGCACTTAGAATATACGTAGCGGATAGTAAGTGCTCAATAAATGACAGCTATTATTAGCAATTAGCGATTGGTTACCCAAGTCTAGGGGAAATTGGAAGGCAATGGGAACAAGATTAACAAGCATGGAAGAACAGATAACTAGAGAGGATGCTAACTACATCTATCTTTCTCTCATTCCAGCTGAGGAAAAATGTTGGGGTTTCCCTGGGTACCATCCTTGGGCCACTGCTTGTTGCATTTCACATGCTCTCCGGAGAGTGATGACTCCCAAACCTTGAGTTCCAGCCCTCCTTTCAGGGACCTCTTCCTACTTAAACGTCCAAACTTCTAACCATGACTCCAGTGCCTCCTGATGAGGCCCCAGCTCATTGCTCTGACTTATTTCTCTGACTGCACTTGATTTTCCAGCAATGCTAAAGGGCTGACTGTTTTCCTGTCCACAGAATGTTGCTTTTCTGTTCCATATCTGGGCTCATGCGGTTCCCTGTGCTTGTAATGCCTTTCTCCCCTTTATCTGGCTCAGATCCGATGACATGTCCTCCAGGAAGAAGGATCTTTCTCTCTCTCAAATTGGATTAGATCTCCTTTCCCTGTGAGACTCTTTGTCTTTTATATAGCAAATCATTGCACCTGCTACAGAATATTATAATTATGTGCTTCCGTTGCTAGACTGGGAGTTCCTTGAAGTTAGTAAATGCTGTGTCTCATGCATCTTTGTATCCTGAGTGCTTAATATACTGCCTGGCACTTCATAAGTAAATGCTGAGTGAATTAATATTTATTGAACCCCCGTCCCAGTACCCCCTGGGATGGAGTGCCATTTGAAGAAACGATTAGTGTAATGAACGGTTCCCTGAGGTGAGGGGAGGGATTTCAAACACTGAACAAACAATACAAAAGAGCAGATATTTCATTTCAGAGCTGCAGAAGGTGAAATAGAAAACAGGAACTCAGGGACGGGGGGATGAGAGGGATCAGAAATGGCCTGGGGGCGGCTCAGATCAGAAAGAGAGCTGCCCAGAGGGACTGGTCACAGAGATTTGACAGCACAGATTTGCATAGCACAGTGCTATGGGTTTATAAGCCACCAAACCAGAGGAAAAGTGAAAGGGCTATTCGCTTATTGAACTAGTGTTTATTGAGCATCTGTTAAGGAGGCAGGCAGTGGGGATACAGCAGTGAACCAAACAGGCCTTGTCTCTGTTGTCATTGAGCTTACCAGGCGGTGGGGAGACAGAAAATCCCCAAGCAAAGAAATATGTAATTACATATAGTGATAAGAACTGTGAAGGCACAGAACAGGATGCTCTGTGAGAAAACGGCAGGTGGGGCGGGGAAGGTCTCTCTAAGGACGTGGTTTTTAAGCTGAAGACAAAGACAGGAGGAGCAGTCCAGGAGACGGGCCTGGGGACTGAGCAAGGAACCAAAAGAGGCCGGTGCAGCCGCGGAGAGCTGGGCAAGGGAAAGCGAGGCCTGTCAGCATCCAGCATCTGCCGGGGAGGCGGGCAGAGGCAGAGCAAGTGGAGTCAGGTCAGTCAGGTTAAGGAGTTTAGATTTTGTTCTATGTACAGTGGCCAAGGAAGTGTTTTAAGAAAGAGTGTGATGGAGTGGTGGGACGCGATTTACGTGCACAGGGGAACACCCAGGATGCTGGGAGGAAACAAGAGAGGAAAGGGGTTTCAGAGTTGGAGGTGGTCATGACTAGTGTTGAGCTATCGAGCTCTTCTTTTTAGGAAATGTCATTTATCTCATTTTAAAAAAATCTTTGGCCATGCCTCACCGCATGTGGGGTCTTAGTTCCCCAACCAGGGATGGAACCCACGCCCCCTGCAGTGGAAGAATGGAGTCTGAACCCCTGGACTGCCAGGGAAGTCCCTCAGTTATCTCATTTTATAGCTGAAGAAACTGAGGTTCTGAGCTGGAAGGAGGACCCAAGTCTGTTCCATCCCGGAGTTGGAACTTCAACCCCTGTTGCCTCTTCTGTGACCCTTGGGCTCAGTTACGTGAAATTTCCAGAATGGCAAAGACTAAAAAGAATGATAGGGCTTCCCTGGTGGCACAGTGGTTGAGAGTCCGCCTGCCAATGCAGGGGACACAGGTTCGAGGCCTGGTCTGGGAAGATCCCACATGCCGCGGAGCAACTGGGCCCGTGAGCCACACCACTGAGCCTGCGCGTCTGGAGCCTGTGCTCCGCAACAAGAGAGGCCACAACAGTGAGAGGCCCGCGCACCACAATGAAGAGTGGCCCCCGCTCGCCGCAACTAGAGAAAGCCCTCGCACAGAAACAAAGACCCAACACAGCTAAAAATAAATTAAAAAAAAAAAAAAAAAAGGAATGATAATATCCATTTTTGCAGGGCAACAGGGGGAAGGTGAATTTTCAACCCCTGTAGGTGGGAATGTAAATCAGTGCAGTCTTTCTAGAAGAAAACCCAGTGCCTTAAAGATGTGTGCCTTAGAGTCACCAATTCCATTTTCAGAATCTTAAAACGATAAACCAAATACTGAGCAGAGATGTCTGAGCAAGTCTTATTTATCAGTGTTTGTAATAACATAATAGGGCATTGATAAAATAGACTTCAGTACTATGCAGTTAATAACATGCAGTATTACTGCATGGACTCGACAGTATATTGCCTGGTGATAAAACTGGGTTACCAAAAGATGTAGAATGTGATTTCATTTTCACAAAATATATATTTACATAGAGAGAAAACATTCTGGAAGGATCTACATCCAAATATTTAGAGTAGCTATTGTCAGGGAGGAAAAAATTCCCTTCTAACCCTTAGGTTCTGTGGCTGGTCGAACAATAAAAATGACATAAGGCAGATTAATGGGAGAAAACCAAATTTAATGGTGTACGTACCATACAGGAGCCCTACAAAGACAGTGAGACCTGGGGCAAGTTGGGCGGTTGAGGCGCTTATGCCATCCAGAGCTAAGGAACTACAATGGGATGGGGCTTCAAAGGGGAGGAGGGCCGTTCACAGGACAATAGGAAGAGCAGAGGTCTGGCCATTAGATGTTCGCCCTGCCGTATAGTAGGTCTTTCAGATATAAAGTTACCTCTGGTACAAGCTCTCTTTCTGGGCCAGGCCCTGATCTAAATTATTTTAGGTAGTCAAGAGGGGGGTAAGAGTTTTCCTCGAGTCTGCTGTGTCTTGATTGCCTTCTGCTCAAAATAATCCATGTGCCAAAGTGGCACATTTTGGGCAGGCTTGTTCGGAACGCCTTCACTGTCTCTGGAAGATGGCGAAATCTGGAGATTCTTATCGTTGTTGCTGTTGTTTTTTATCCACGGTATCTAGTTTTTCTAAATAAAAAATTTTCAGTTTTTGTTGAAGAAGGACACACGTACAGAAAAGGGCACACATCCTATGCTCAGAAGGGATGAGTGAGCGCAAACTGACCACACCCGTGTCAACAACACACAGACCAAGAGAGAATGTTCCCAGCCCCCAGAAGCCCCTCTGTATTGAGTCTGGCTTCCTCCACTTCACATTATGTTTCGTGCAGTTCTTCCATGTGGTTGCAACTGAATTGCAGTGCATTAATTGCTTAAAATCTTATCATGTTAATACTTGTCTTTTCTAAATATGACACCCTAGAATGATAATCATCAGCTTTTTTGTCTCTGTATAGAGTGCTTTGCATGGACACTAGCTCTAAGCATTATTGTTTTTCTCACTGGTGCCTTAATAGACAAGGGAACTGGGAGTAGAGGGTCATTTCCCTCCCTCCGGTTCACGCACAAAGCAAGAAGTAGCACAGCCGGGACAGGCTCGTACCTAAATACATGCCCTTTTTGCCCCACCTCATGGGATTAAGAGCAAAGGTAGCAGTGGAGTAAATGAAAGGAATAGCTTTCTCACCATCAGGCTCATTTAGACATTGAGACAAGTACGTGGGAAAGTTGTTTAAACTCCTTTTCTGAAAGTCATTCAGAATAGAATACACAGACCCTTCCAGTTCAGAAGCTGAAGGTCCCATTAGTATTCAACCAATTTCAACATTCATCATCTCTGGAGAGAATTTCTTTTGCTAATAATCTGTGAGAGCCACACTTCTCATTTCACATTATTAATCACAGTGCCTTCATCATTACGTTGTGTATGTAATCTCTGTATACTTGCCATGTGGATTTTGTGTTTGCCTATGTCCACTTTGCTCTCCAGCTTTATGAACAACATTGATTACAGCCTCTTAGCGATCATATACAGGCGGTTCACTTCTCATGTACGGTGAAATATCTGGTGTCAGCAGGACCGGGGTAGAACTCAGGCGTTCCGGCTCACAGGTCTTAGGACCACACGTCAGTGCCTGAAGTGAGAAAATCCATTTCTACTTGGAAACATAAACAATGATGGTCCTGATTGTTAAGGAACCTGTGAATGTGGTTTTTTCTTTTCTATAACGTAGAACTTCATGACTTAGCTTTATGTATCTTACCATCACATTTCACTCTAAAATCCACAATCATCCTTCTTTAAAATCTTGTGATTCTAGGTGTCTGTAGTGTGAAACGAATTTCACAATCCAGTACGCTTTGTAGACTTTTTAAAAAGAAATTAGGTGAATTCGTAGAGAAAACAAAGACCTATCACCTCAGATATTTACTTCAGTTCTGACACAAGTAGCCTTGTCTTACGGGTTAGGGTTGTCAGCCCTTAAAAGCTGAAGTGAGGTAAACAAGCACCTTAGCCTGAATTCCCCTTCTCCTTCTTCCCCATTCCCACTCCCCCTAGACATTCTCTTTTTTGTGTTCATTGTAGAAAAAGCACAGACCAGTAATTCATGTCTGCTGTCCTCCTGCCTCAGGGTCTAGCACTAGATGGCCCGAGTGTGGGAGAACGAGTGTGGGAGAACGTAGGAGGTGCCACTCCTCCTACTTTCCCGGGTTACCTTTCAGGAATCCAAAAACTGTATGGTCTGTTTTTCCTGACAAAAGAACAGTATCTGCAGGTCAAAGGATAACTGATAAGTCTATTTATCTCCCCAGAGACTTTGGCCAGACACTTCCCCTTTCTTAACTCTCCTGGTCAGCCTCGAACAGCCTTGACCAGTCCTACTTGGCAGGACGTCTATGGCTCCTCTGTGAGGGCCTCTGTGAATCTCTAGCTTCACAGTTACTATTTTATAAACAACATGAAGGGGGAATCTTTTTTTTTGTTTGCTTTTATTTTTGATAATTAAAAAGAATTTTTTTTTTCGAGTCTAGTTGATTTACAATGTTGCATTAGTTTCAGGTGTACAGCAAAGTGAATCAGTTATACATATATCCACTTTTCTTTCTTTTTTTTAAGATT